TTGATCAACTTCATCGCCGAAAAAGTTCTTTCAACGGTAGCAGTGGCAACAGGTAGAAGCAAACCAAATTTTACAAGGCAAAACACAAATGGATAATTCAAATGCTTATTTGTCTTAACTAGTGTTTCAGAAAGATCAACAAGTCCTTGTAGATTTGAGAACCTTTAATCAACATCACGAATATCAACAATATAAGTTTCAAGCTGATTCTTGAGTGTAACCGTTATATTTTCATCAAAATCATCAGGATATAATTCAGCCATCCTCAATATCTTGTTTATGTCAAAACTGGAAAATAAGTCAACTGGATTTAAGCAAGCTACTCCAATAAGTAAGTTCGTTATCACCTTATTAAAACGAGCATTGAGTTCTTGAACTTGCCAATCAATAATCTTAAAAAATATATCAACACGATAGTGATGTAAAATAGTATAATCAACAACTTTACGTCGAGATCTTCCAGAGTTAACATAGAGGTCATCAAAGTTTGGTATCAAAATATTATACTTGACACAAAATGCAGATACCTTATCAATAAGTGAATCTCATTCTTCTTCTCTTAGCTTTTGCAATCGTTTCTTTGCCACTTCAACAAGTAGAATAGCATTTGCAATATCTTGCTCCTTTTTTTGTAAGGATGTATTAAGCTCATTTGTGATCCCCAAAACATCTCTCATTAGGTGCGACATGAAAGCAACCTCAAATGTTTGACAAAACTGCTAAGATATCCCTTTGCCTTAGCTCTTTCTTCTAAAGTCCAGGCATCAACAACGATAGTATCAAGAACATCAATAATTGAGCCAAACATAGAAATAAAGTTCTTAAAATATTTATAGTGCGAACCCCAACGAGTATCTGCAGCTCTAGCAAGACCAAGTTCTTGATTCAAACCCCTACCAGTTTCAAGTTCACCCATGTCTAATGCTTCTTAAACTTTTTCTGCTTGAGATTCTCGAAGATCATCCATACGTTTAAAAGAACCTCCCACTATATTCAATACATTAGAAACCAACAGTACAAGTTCTCCCACTTCAAGACATTTTTTGGATACCGCAACAAGAGTCAATTGAAGTTGGTGTGCAAAACAATGAATGGAATAAGCAGATTTACTTTCTTGTTGAATCAAAGTTTTGAGGCCACGTAAATCCCCTTGCATGTTGCTTGCTCCATCATAGCATTGTCCACGCACATAAGATAAACTCAAAGAATATTGAGCAAGGTAATCAATAATTGCTTTCTTTAAACACAAAGCAGTAGTATTACAAATATGAACAATCCCAATAAAATACTCCACCACAGATCCGCATCTATTAACATATTGCATGACAATAGCTAATTGCTCTTTGCGTGATACATCACATGATTCATCAACTAGCAATGCAAAAAAGTCTCCATTTAGATCGTTCATAATTGCTTTAACTGTTTCAATTTTACATGCAATGATAATGTCTTTCTGAATTTTAAGAGAAGTCAACTGATCATTCTTTGGAGCCTTTTTCAACACAAGATCACGAATTTTATCGCAGCTCTCTGCATACCATGAAAGAATCTCAAGAAAGTTACCCTTGTTTAATGATGATTCATCTTCACGATGTCCACGGAATGCCAATCCTTGATTCAATAGGAGTCTCACCACCTCAATTGAAGCCTTCAAGCGAATTTTGTATTCGAGCTTGGTTTGAGTGGATTGCCTATCAAATGAAGTTTGAATTGACTGTTTTTGTTTTAATAGATCTTCACATTTCCTTTTTGCCTGATTATGAATACTGCTCGACCCATGCATATCTAATCTGTTCTTTTTGTGCCAGCTCTTAAATCCTAAACTTGAAAATACATCACCTCCACCTTGATGAATGCCTTCATCTTGAAATAAGTAACAATACAAACAGTAAGCTGCATCTTCAATCACACTATACTCCAACCAATTATGATATCCTTTAAACCATTTAGGATTGAAACGGCACTTTAAGCCCGAAAAATCTCTTTGAGGAAACTTATGATATCGGGGTTGGCAAGGACCTCTTCGGAGGTATTCTCTTCTAATCTCATCACGCTCATTTGGATGAAAGTCTCTAATGGGTAATCTCTCCTTTGGATCAGTCTTTAAAGAATCGAGATCTATTCTTTGTCTTTGTTTTTTAGAGGATTGAGGTTGTTCTACTAATTGGTTCAAATTTTCTTCCACGGGAGTAACAATTAGAGAGGATGAAGTTGATTGTGGCAACTTGAAAGATACCGGAGGATAAAATCTCTTCATTGTAACATAAACTGGATTACCAAATTAGAATTCGAATTAGAAGAATAATTTAATTAAACTTAAATTTAAACTAACATTTATTCATTCTTCACCAATAATTTAATTTTCTTTTTTTCTATATATCATTATATTATAAAACAGTCAGATGAGATTTTAATCATCATTAAATAGCTTTGGACCACAACTTTGAAAGTTCAAAATGTCTTTACAAGAGTTATTATTTTCATCATAATTTTTCTTGAAGCAACAAAGAGAACAAATAAAAAAATCAGCAATGTAAATTCTAGTGATGCGCAAGTATTTTAAAGCAGATTATTTATATCATGGAATAATTAATTTAATTGAAAGGAATACCTATATAATGCAGTTAGCCAAACACATATACATAATACACTCATACACTTAGAAAACAAAATTAATCTGAATCCAATGTGTTATAGTCAATTAGTCATCCCTAAATCACTTAATGATAATTGATAAGATAGACCTAATTTATATGTACAAGAAAAAAATTTAGAAATCAGAGAGAAACCTGATAGTGATAGTTGATGGTGAGAGAGTAAGAGGCTAATGGCAGGAGACAGTTATGGAAGGAAGCAATATGACCTTAAAATTGAACTAAAAGATTCAGTAGAGAGAGAGAGAGAGAAAAAGGGGAGGGAGAGAGAGAGACAACAAGCATTATTTATGAAATATGCAGAGAAATAGAGAAGGGTTTCGGAATTGGGGTTGTTAGTTTGGGAATGAGTTGGGTCACTGTATTTTAGACATAAACGACGTCGTATTTAAATAGGAAATACGTATTAAAACAAAATAATTCTGACTGGTTTCGAACTCAAAACCTTGGGAAAAATTTGAACCCACTTTGCCAACAGGCTATTCGTCACCAATGTTATAAGCGGGGTCAAAATAATTTTTATACATAAAACGTTCTTAAAAATATAAAATATACTTATATATACAGTGTTATTTTTCGACGAAACGGGTTCATTTGAACCCTCTTGACCCTACGTGGGTCCGCCCCTGCATTTTATTATGTTCTTTTTCCTGTGCATGTAGTTGTGGAATGTGGAGGCATGTTCTTATTTCACTGCAAAAATTCAACTTTATCTTTGCTACTTTAGAAGAGATCGATAGTTCTTTTTGTCCTCAGGTCTACCATTTAAAATTACTCCTAGTAAATAATAGATAGCTTATTACTCCACTCAATGTTGGTCTACATTGTAAGACGTTGTATGAAGAAATTTATATCTTTTTAAAGCTAAATTTGTTTGTATAGTTTACATGATAACCTAATTAAGCATATCGATCATACGCTATCCATCCCTAATTTGTTTATTGTTTTAGGTTAGGTATTTTCATGTGTCGTGCATGAATGGAGAATTGAACTTGATCTCTCAAATTGTAATTTCTTTGGGACGGTTTGGAATATGTCTCCTTTATTTTTATTTTCTTGTTGAAATTTAATCTTTAATAAAAGTTAGATAAGCATCTCAAAACCACTAAGTCCTCTCTTTGTGTGTGCGCCTTAGCTTGTTTCTTTTCTCTAGTAAAAACTTACATGTTAAGTCTATTTTATTTAGAAATCGCAGCAATTGAAACTTAAGTTTTTGTATATTCCATGATTTAGAACAAGTATCATCAGTATATTCGAGGTTACTTAGAATCCAGTATTAATTTTTTCACATTGTTATGTTCTTTGAGTAATCATGTTTCTATAGGAATTGAATACTAACGAAATAACGTTACGTGCACGAATTATCTAGTTGAAAAAAGAAGAATTTTAACATTTTCTTTGTACGGCGAATATATCTTGCTCATTTGGAACTCAATGAAAAGAAAAATGGTTGTAACAAATAACAATTATTTAATCTTAAGCGAACCATAAATAGCGAATCTTCTCCGATTTGGTGGAACGAGATGGATATTTGATGAGCTATTGGTTTGAAAATCAGATTTAGTGTAAGAAATCACATGCAATTTATTTTCAAAAAACAATAAACAAAAATTCACTCAAAGGTATGCATTTCGTTGAAAACCAGCTCAAATATCCTCCAAAATCATTTTCCTAATTGCTACAACAATAATCCATCTTTTGGTACACTAAATTGAAAAAAATTGAGAGCTTCATCTAGTTTATTACTGGTCTACTTAATTAATATTCTATTTACATTTCAATCAAGGAGTTAGACCGACCGCTGATAATAGCAAATGTTTACTCATAGAAGTAGCCGGACTTAATCATTGGATGAATTAGGAGTGTAAAAAGAAAACCGATAAACTGTATCAAACCGATAATTTGAGTCAAATCAAAAATAAAAACACGATGTGGTTTGGTATTGGAAAAAAAACCCGACCATAATTGGTTTGGTTTGGTTTGGTTTTAATTAAAAAAAAGTCAAACCGAAACCATACCAACTCGACATTATATTTATGTAATTTTTAATATTTTATACATGTAAATATTTATTATAATCAATTTATAAATATTTCTTAAATTTTTTCACAGTTTTATCTTTTAATGTATTATTTCAAACTTGGAGTCTTGGACTTAACATTCTTAAATGGTCCAATAAGTTTTATAGCCCATAAATATAGCAACTCAAATAAAGTTCAAATCAATACTAATACTAATAAAATAAATTCAATTCAACAAAACTGACAATAGTGTTGGATATCTATTTTTAGTTTTGCATTGGTTTATATTGAAAATGGATAACTAGTTTATCTTTTTCTTTAGTGCTTAATTGTGTAAGTAATAGTACTTAGTAGATGTACTTATTTTAGCACGACTTATATAGTACTTTTAGATTGTGTTCATTTTTATTATGGCTTATTAATTAGCAATATTTATTTTATGCGATTTTATTATCTTTGTTATTGAATATTTTAGTACAATGCTATGACTTATTTCATATTATTGTGTTATTTTCTTGAAAAATACATTATATAGTTGTATCCTATTAGGACTAAAGAAATATTTGGAGCACAAGTTACATATTTTGTGCTATGAAGACTTTACCGAGAAAAACCCGAGGAAACCCGAAAAACCTGGAAAAAATTGAATTGAAAAACCCGACTTTGTTGGTTTGATTTGGTTTACAGATTTCAAACCCCGACACCATTGGTTTGTTTTGATAATCAAAAAATCTGAACCAACCCGACCTATGTACACCCCTAGGATCATGGACGGATGCATGTGGAACTAAACGGTGTCACGCGATACCGCTTCGTCGATTTTTTTATGAAATATATATAGTAATACTGTACGGGTAAAATAACATAAAGAAAATAACACCACTTGATATATATTATTTCTTGGCACACTGGTTAAGTACCTAATTTTTTTCCTAAGAAGTTAGAGGTTCTATTGTTAAAATTTGTGGTGAGCTAGAATTGAACTCACAATCTCTTCTAACTAAGACTATTTCTTGTGGAGTAATATGATAATTAATATTATTTATTCTCTATTTTTCTATAAATATCCACATCACTTGTGAAATATCCTGCTTACGCCCCTACCTAGGATGAACCCAATGCTTTGAAGTCGAACGATCATTTATATGGGTGCAAAAATATCTATATGTAATAGATCAATTTTAATGTTTTGATAAAAGTGTTTTAAGCCTACAATCAAGTATTCTATTCTATTGTGCTATGAGGTAAGTAACTACAAATAGTCCAATGAGCCTGTATGATCTTAACAAGTGAAATTTCCGTATTTATTTAATTCAATTAGGTAAAAACATGAAGATCCCCAAACAAGATATGTACAAATATTCAAAATGAAATGTCTATCATATTCATGGCTAAGTTCTCCATCATCAAATATTCCACTTCTCCTAAGCAATTCATCTTACTGGTTCCATTCCCTGCATTTTCAAACACACAAAAATGGGTGAAATTAAAAATAGCTAGATTTATAATTGGTGATTGAAAAATAGTCATTGTTTCAGAAGTACCCGAATTTTAGCCACTTTTCATGTAAAGATAAAATATGAACAAAAATACTGTTAAAAATCCGGAAACATTTCAGCATAATATGCTGGAGTTTTAAATTTTTTGCATATGAGCTTTTAGTATAATATGTTGGAATTTTACAATATATGTGCTGGAGTTCCATCATAATATGCTGGAAGTTTATATGCAGCAGCTCTATAATCCCGCATATTATGCTGGAACATTCCGTGTCCTCGAGTTCCAATATAATATGCTGGAAGTTTATACGCAGGAGCTCCATAATCCCGCATATTATACTGGAACTTTTCGTGTTTCAGCAATACATTGACTATTTTTTTAATGACTTTGCAAACGCTGACTATTTTTAAATTACCAGTCCAAAAAATAGCTAGCCCGTGCAATTTTGACCACAAAAATTAGAATAATGCTACTAAAACTACAAGGTAACGTCTAATTCTCCTCTTTCCGGTGCCATTGATTTAATCAAACTTAATAGGTCATTTGGAAAAAAGCTTGTCCTCATTTTAAGCTAAATTTTTATTATCATTGTAATTTATAAATCTATTGTGACATGTTACTTGTTGCACTTCTCAAGTGACTAATTCAACTTTTATACATAATTACCAATAATTATCTTTTGGGTAACATAAAAGTATATATAAAAATCATTTTAAACTAAAACAAGAAGAGACACGCATACTGTAAAAAGAATTTGGAATGGTTTGGTTGAAGGTTGGATATTTGTTGAACTTCTTGAGAGGACAAGAGGAAAGTGGAAGAATTGGAATAGTTTGGCAATTGCAAATCTCAATCATGTTGCCATCTGGGTCGTGGAAGAAGAGTTGATCCACAGTGACTCCACCTTCTTTCACAGTTGCTGTTACATACTCAATCTTCAACTCTTTCAATCTCTCAATTATGAGGTCCATATCCGAGCATTGGAATGAAATGTGATTGTCTTTTGGATTTATCCTTTCCTTCTTTGACTTTGCATCTTCTTTTCCTAGCAAATGTATTCCAATTCCATGGTTGAACAACCTGCAAAAATCAACCCAAAATATCAGAGATTTATTTTCATTGTCTCAACCT